TTTAATGTGTTTGATAGCCTGCCAAAGAGACACCATAGATGCAGAGTTGAGAGGCTGCCCACGAGAGCTGAACTAATGGAGCGTAGCGCAGCACGGCACTTTCTGGCTCAACTGTTTAGTCAGACTGTTTAAAAGTCTCCACCATTTACTCTGAAGATTTTGATGTGTTAGGTAAAGAAAGACTAGAGCTCTGTTCAAGAACCTAGTGAGCTGCCTATAGAGGCAGTATATTAAGACATAATTTATAGTAATAAGACAATATTTGTGTATGCTATTTATTTTTAAGCTTAATTCAGCATTAGCTTAGCTACATGTTAATGTCAAAATCAATCACGAGTCAAGTTTTCTGCACTTGTTGTGGCTGCCCCTCACATGAATCCATCGTAGCAATCCCAGAATACATTGCAGAGAGCTTGTATTCAAATAAAAGCATTGCCTTTTTGGAATTTGCATATTTTTGGTGTTCGTTTTGGTAAATATGAGAGACATAACTTCTGCTTTCTGTTTCTGTTTATATGTAGAAAAACCCGTTTACCTGCGTGTAAAACTACTGAAAACATTAACAGCTGCTATTTAGGGCTGTGGGCTTTCTATACAACAGTGTAACTCTCTGCTTTACCATAGTGCAATGCAATAATACACAATATAGTCACACAGGAGGTGGAGTAATAATCTGCAATTAATCATCATTCAGTCTGTGTCACACTCTGGGGTACTAGAGCACATACAGACATGCACACTTGCTTTTATTCTTTTGATAAATTAAAAGAGATGCAGTACACTTTTATTAAATGTTAGATTGTATTGCATGTTAGCTTGCTTTTGCTCAAGAGCATGAAATGTGTAATTCCATGTCATACTAATAAGAAACTATGCTTCTAACCACAGGGCAAGAGCTGAAATTCCAACCACACAACTTTGCAATGCTGTTTGTGGTTCGTTGGAACTATGAATTCGGGGAACACCAAATCATTGAACAGTTATGTTGATAATGACAGAAATTGTGACCATAGTTGGCTAACAATGCTTCTGGGAAATGCACCGCAGATTTACCTTTAAATTGAACTAATTTAACATTTAGATTCAGTCAGCAATAGCTACCTTTCAGATATATCTCTTGGGTTAATACTTGAATCACTATCCTGTCAGTCAAAGCACCACGTTTGACCGCACCTCAATTTACTAGGAGCAGGGAACGACTGATAAATTTTACACTCTGAGCACTCTGATCCTTACAAATTTCTTATGAGGCAGTTAGCTCAAATCCTTCAAACACCAGTGCTAAATTTAAACTCGCTTTTATACTCGGTCTTTCCACCAACTCACATCCTGCATGTTAAAAAACTGAAGTTCTCATGTAGCTTCCCTGGATAATTGAAGAACAGCCAGCAGTGGAATCTGTCAGATGCCTGCCATAAATGAGAGGCTTTGGGTTTTACTTCATCTTTGAGCTGAAAAGAGAAAGCCAGCAAAGACACATCAAACTGAGTGGAAGGGGAAAGAAACAAAGCAATTTAGAGGGGAAATAGTAGCTGAGGACAGTTAATGGCCAGACATTAAGCCCAATTAAGTTGGGTGTTAGTGGAAAGGGAAGATTTATGCAAATGCTTTGCAGTCAGGCGTTTCTCCAACAAAGGTTGTGGCTGAAAGCCTGTGTGGTAGTGGTCCACTGTGAAAGGGTTTCGAAGGTAAGCAAATATTGTGTTTGTCAAAAAATTATCCACTGCTCCTCTGAAAAGCTGTATGACTGTAATTTCAGCAAATTTATTAAATTTAGTTTAGCTTTTGCAGGTGGAGTTTGTGTATTAAAAAAAATGGATATTCTGTAGTGACATAAGCATTGTTTGTGATGACATATTTACATCTGTGGAGAATAAATGTTTTTAATCCCATACAGCAATGTATGTGTGTGTGTGTGTGTGTGTGTGTGTGTGTGTGTGTGTGTCTGCGTGTCTGCGTGTCCGCGTGTGTCCACGTGTGTGTGTGTACAGATAGTGGCATTTGTGCATCTGGGTAAAATTCATTAAGTGGCTGGATGGCTGTTTTTGGAAACAGACAAAAGTTGGACTGTTTACCTTTGCTGACTTTGGGCGAGATGTTACAAGAGAAAATGGTCCATCAATCAGAGGTGCTCTGGGCACTGGGCTCTAAAGCAGAGAAATGAGGCAGAGGAGACTGTGCCAGCAGCCATTTCCACTGCTGCATGACGGGAAAGCTTCCATTGCCCTCCCAAAAATCATTTGTGAACACAGAGTGGACCGTCCCCTGAAAGTTGAAGTTTCAGAGCAGAACTGGAATGAGAGGTCTTTGCTATCATTTCTTTCTATACAGTCCCCCTGGTTTCGCATTGGACTGGATTAGAGCAGCAATGGAAACTTAAACATGTCAATAAACAGGACTGAATCGATTGTTGCTGGACCTCTGTCTCCACTGCTGCTCCTCTGCCCCGTCTCACATTAATAGCTCATGTCAGTCAAAAAGCAGCATCATGCTAAAAACCTGGCTTTGATACTGACTAATATGACTACTTTAAATGTCATATTTAACACTTAACCTTTTTAAATGTTCTCTTATAAGATATTGGAATAGATTATTACGTTATCATGTTGCATTTATGTATTTGACATGCTGACACACGGTTATGTGTGTTTTATACATACTTTACAGTAGTAGTGGTGATGTTTGTGTGTCGTCTGTTTGCAGTCTGATTATATAAAATGATGTTTATATCTATGCTCTTTTATCCCATTTGACCAGTGTCTGCTTGTGAAAACACTGACTGTCTCCAGCCTTAATTACAGCTGTATGGTGTGCGGCGTCCACAGCTGCAGCTGGCAATTACTGCACGCCCATATTGCTCGGAGAGCCCTGCTTTGATTCAGCACGGAGCCAGCTGAGATCAGACTCCATACGCAGGCTGTTAAATGAACAGCCATGTGTTACATACAAGTGTGGCCCCTAAAGGTCCCTTCTCATCAGAACAAGACTCGCTGCTGGAGAAATTTGGTTGATTTATAACAATACATTTTAATGTCAGTCTGCCTGATGAAAAGATCATCTTATACCAGCATGAATTTCTTTGTAGACTGGTAGGTGCTGCTCTAGTTGGTGGATCACGATAACCATGTTGTTTACATGTAAAACTTTTGAGTTTAGCAGAATGTCTAAACTGCTCTTTTCAATACAATGAAAGAGAATGGTGCTATGAAGCAAGACTTTCAGTGAATAAAAGCTTTAAATTAAACCTGTTTCTGACGCAAAGATATTGTATGATTTTAAAAGACTTGAAATGTAGCGTATGAGTTGTAGATTACATTTATTATGAATAGTGTTATTTATACTATTACAGTACTTCAATTACTAATATTACAGTATTTATTAATATTTATTAATATTAGCTTTTATTTTTAGATTTTCAGTTATAATTTCATTAGTTTTAGTAATTTTGTTGTGCTTTTTCATTTTTATTAGTTTAGGTTTTTCTAAATATTTCTGTTTAGCTTCTTTTTTTTTTTTTATTCCTGTTTTAGTACTTAAGCTTAAACTTATTTTAAGTTAGTTGCCAAAGCAACATTTTTAAATTTGACCTTTTTTTTTTTATTTTACTTTATTTTATAATTTAATTTAATTTTTATTTATTTATTTTTCAAATTAAGTTAAATATTTATCTTTTATTTCAGCTCTATTTAATTAACAAAAAAAATAATAGTTTTAGTTTTAGTTAACAATAACAACATTGTATGGAGCTTGACAGCAGTGGTCACTGGTCCCCATTTTGTCTAGACAAGAGCAGCTAAACATCTGCTAAATGTCTCGTGAAAGAAAGCCATAGAGGTTTGGAATGGTATGTGGTTGAATAAATGATGACAGAATTATCATTTTTGTAAGGAACTATCTCTTAATGATGGAGACATGATGGAAACCCCCATCATATGGGGTTTTCATAGTGCCAAGGGTCTTTCTTACATTTCTTTTTTTCTTTGTCTGTGTTTTCAGTCAATCCAACATTTTAAGCTTTGTTTTTATTTGTGGTAGTGACTCGATTTGGCATGTTAGCTAAAGATTGGAACCAAAAACATTCTGAACAAAAGGTCAGAAAGAGTTGGGCCCCGAGGACTGAAGCGAAAACCTCAATTTCTAGATCTTTCGTGACTGTTTTGGTCTGTTTTTTGAGTCACTGGACACCAATTTAGAGTTCTTCTTCATCCACCTGTGCTTTTTGTTGATCCATTTCCTCCTGACATTTATTTGTCAGTGGTTTTGTCTTTTATTTTTTAGTATTTCATTACGCAGTCCTGTGCGTCCTGAATACCTGAATAATAGTCTTTTTGTCACTTTTGCTTGAAGAGAGACAGGGTCTATAAATAACAAATTGCATGCTTTTTAAAATGTATTAATTTATTTCCTTTTTTTTTTGAGTGGCTGTACTTTATGTAAGGAAAAGTTATTGCTTTTGATTTTGTCATCTCTTATCAATATTACCCATGTGGAGCAATTATTTTGATGCGATGATTTCATTGTGGAGGCGGATATGTTTCTCAGAATGTGGACTAGTCATTTTCCTCTTGTTTGAGGAACAAACGCATTGCATGATAATGCAGTATGGTTTGTAGAACTGTCTCTCTCTCTCTTGTCAAAATGAATATGATAGGAATGAGACAGAGAAAACATTGTTTGTTATGCCACCGGATACAAATGCCCTCTGACAGAATGATAAATTGTCAAATGTTTAATCAGCGTCTCTTTTGGTTTTTCATGTGAGTTGGAAAATCTTCTATGAAGATTTTAATGCCTCAGAACTTTTGAAGTTTAAAGTGACCTTTTCCACAATTAATCATAAGCGTCTTAAATGGCATCTCTTTGAGGGATCAAAAGGTTCATTTTTAAAGTATTAAATCTAAGAGAAACAAAGGTTATGGTTTCCAAAGATTGTAGCTTGTTGTGTCCTCATCAATAAGAGAATATTAAATTTTTAATTAGTCATTGGTGTTTTTTCACAGGTCTACACAAGATATGGGAAATGCTATACTTTCAATGGGAACAAAACAACCGCCAGGAAGACAAAGCAAGGAGGGATGGGAAACGGGCTGGAGATCATGTTGGATATCCAGCAGGATGAATATCTACCTATCTGGAAAGAGACAAGTGAGTTATAATGCCACACAGAGATGATTTCTAGTTCGAAAGTTGCCAAATCATTCCATATTTTATGGTTCTCAGATGTGTGTCTGCACAATCTGTTAAGATAAACATGTTTAAATTCAAGGTTTATTTGTGATGTTGTTTTTCCCATTTGTATTGATAACGGGATATGTGAGGCTTATCTTTGTGTTATCGTTCATATTGCTTGTTGTGCTTTCTTACCCTCTCTCTGTCTCGCTCATCCTCTAGTTATTTTTTGCAGATGAAACATCTTTAGAGGCAGGAATCCGTGTTCAGATCCACAGTCAGGATGAGCCGCCCTACATCCATCAGCTGGGCTTTGGAGTCTCTCCGGGATTCCAGACCTTTGTATCCTGTCAAGAGCAAAGGGTATAACCCTTCCCTAGAATCACTCTCAAACTTTTCAGTCTAAGTACCACCTATAATGAAATCAGGCCATCCTAGTACAGTACCATCTAGTCACATCTCAACATTCCCCCAGTTTTTAGATAGCTTAATGGTCTAGTATTCTATCATTTACTTACCATCATGTTGTTCCAAACCATACAGGGTTTTTTTCTACAAAAGTAGATTTTTAAAATAACTGTTACACAGCTCTTGCCATACAGAATTCCAGAGAAAACATTTTGTTTCTTGTTACATTAAAGTGAAGAAGTAAATAAAAATAGGAGCCAGTAAGCAAGCAATTAGCAGAGAAGAATTTCTTTGCAAGTGTGAAACACACTCAGAGTTGAGAAAGTGACTGGCAGTTGAAGGGTTACCAAGCTTGTGAAGTTGAACTATAAATGTGTATATCACAGTATTTCTATAGCCATTCAAATGTCCCTAACTGACTTCTAGTAAACTGGCTAGTAATCTAAACTCTGACTTATCTGTGTGCTATATGATATCAATGTATATGTATCAATGTATCAATATATCTATATGATATATTATTTATTTATTTATTTTTTTTTTTCAGGAGAATGTAGCATATTGAATCACTAAAATTAATAAACTATAGACCTGAAAGATGAAACAGAAGTAGCGACCTTTTTTTTCTGTATTGTAATATCCAAGTGAAACAGATTATCGTAAAAGAAAAAATGTAGGTTGGGGACTTGGTCCTATCCATCAGTTGTTGACTGGATGGAGGCAGATCTGAATGCAAGCTTGTAGGGTGGGTATAAGCGGCCTAAATTATTGGAGAAGTCCAGCTTTTTCCATGACTGACTATTTTGATAAAACATTTACGAGAAGAAAAAAATTGGAATGCATGCATGGTTGAATCTATCGCAATAAAATCAATAACATGCATTCAGAAAATAGATACGGTGAAGTGCGTTCAAAAGTACTTATACACTACAAACACAACATTTTGTCCTTTAAATATTGAAATGTAGGGCAATGCATTCTTAAAACTTAGATCTATCTAGAAACTGTCAGACTGGTTATGCGATCAATCTCGTGCTTAAAAATGAGCACTGAATGCAATATTCTTGTTTTAAAGGCAAGCCGCTCATTAAGCTTTCCTTCTGTAAACCAAGCCACATACAAATAAAATCGTGCTCTTTTGTCAGTCACTTCAGTTTTTATGCTCTTTAAAATTGTGAGAACACTGCTTATTTGCATACTTAATTCGCATGGACTAATTCTCTCTTTCTTTCTGTCTCTCTTGCTCTTACAATCCTGCTCTGTCTGTCTCGCTCTCACTTTATCTCCCTTGTTCTCTTCACTGCTCTCCCTCTCTGTGTGTAGTTGACCTACCTGCCCCAGCCTTGGGGGAACTGCCGCTCCACCAGTGAGCAGATGATCCCGGGTTACGATACCTACAGTATCAGCGCCTGCCGCCTGCGCTGCGAGACTCTTGAGGTTCAGCGTGTGTGCAAATGCAGGATGGTGCACATGCCGGGTAACGCTACACCGCTGCATTCATTTCCCACTCAACCTAATCAGCACGCTAATGTATTCTGCTAATTGCTAAAATACTAAATGAATAAACTCTTCTCATCTAATTTGCTCCAGGCAGTGGAGCCGAAAGCTTAATGCAAGTCTCTAAATTAACTTACTGTCTAGTCACACAATACAAGGAGCTGGGGTAGTTCATTTGGCATTTGGAGGGAAAATTCAGATGATCGCAATCCGACAGCAATGATGAACCTGGACCCGCTGATTCGTTACATTCCACTCGAAGCAGCTGAAAAACCGTGGAAAAAAAGCAAATACCTTTATTTTCTCTTTTGAAAAGCGACGACGTATAGACTTGTGGACTTTCTCTGTCCCCAGAAACCTCTTTTCTAATTAACTCCACCACACCTGAGTTGTTATCAGTGTGGCTTTTCAGAGAGCATGTGACTGTTGGTGGCTGGGCTCTAATGGAAGCTCTGCTTCTCTGCTTTTCTCCTTAATGTTCCTATATCAATCTCCCATAATGCAAATTGAAAAGAGAGACTGTTCCAAAAGCATTAACTCAAAGGCCATTTTCTCTTAGGTGCCATATGTATTTCCTCGAACCGGTTGCTCTTTTGATGGATTCGGGTGGCGAGTATTGTGTGTCGATGGTGATTGGGTTTTAAAGACTTTATAAATGTGCCTTTGGGGAGGGCTTGGATCAGTCCATTTTGGGTGCAATTAGGCCTAGACTGATGGTCATGAGGGAGGCATGGTGAAAGCGAACCCATCTCCCTCAGTCACACGCTGCCTTCCATCATTTTAGGATGAATAACAAAGCAGAGGTGTGCTCTCTCTTTCTCTGCCGCTCACGCTTTTTCTTCCTTGGCTGGCGGTGCAATAACAGCAATCATTTTGCTCGTGATTGATCAGAGTCATTATGTATTTTGTTTCTCAGGAGATGCCGATATCTGTACTCCCAGCAATATCAAATGTGTGGACAAAGCACTTGGTAAGCAAGCATTTTTCATTTTTGCTAACGCCCTGGAGTGTAATATCTCTGGAGGTAGTGGGCACGAATAATTAAATCCCAGATAAACAGATGTTTCTGTGCGGGGTCTGGGGTGGGAGACACAGGATTACTCAGTCAGTCCGTGGAGGAGAATCAGCGCTTTGACATCCCTTACAGAGCAGCATTAAACTGGAGATCCCGGCAGTGCATTACCCTCTGATACCCTCACGGTGTTATCGCCCGCTGTAGGTGTCTTGTTCCACTGATTTTATGACACTCGTAAATGGAGCGGCTCATGAAAAGTTGATGATGAGAGATGTATCGGTACAATTATGATAGTCCTTATCTAATAAGCCAGAAATGAAATTATCTCCGCAGTCAAAAGGAAACCCGACCCCATTTAATGGGTGGTTGAACTAAATCCAGATATATCTTGAAAGAATGGACTGTACTACCATTCACTGGATTGACCTATTCAAATATTCAAACTGAAATCTCGACTATGATAGGTTACTTTAATTATTTTCTGATAAAAATATATCACACGCATAACACCACAACATAGCCTATTAACACATTAAAAAAGTTTGCTTAAAATCTGATCTAAAAGCACTGAGATTCATATATAACTTCAAAAAAAATCACAGATTCAGTTTAAATCAGTAAGATTTTTTTTTTTTAATCAAATACTTTTATTCATCAAGGATGCATGAAATTAATCAGAAGTGAACGTAAATGTATTTATAATGTTACAAAAGATTTCTGTTTCAAAAAATGCTGTTTTTTATACTTTCTATTTATCAAAAAATACTGGAAGAAATGTCATGGTCTCTTAAAAAAATATTAAGCAACACAACTGTTTTTTAACATTGATAATAATAAGAAATGTTTCTTGAACACCAAATCAGCAAATTTGATGTGACATTGAAGACCGGAGTAATAGCTGCTGAAAATTTAGCTTCGCCATCACAGGAATAAATGACTTTTTAAAATATAATAAAAATATATTAAAATTGTAATATAACAATTATAATATATCATATTTATTTATATACATTTATATTTATTTATTTATTTTTATTTTTAATTAAATAAATCAGCATAAGATTTTTTTTTTTTAGAAACATTTGAATGGTAGTTATACATACTTAATATGCACTCTATATGAAACATGATGATACAGCTTAATTTCTTTATACAAGGCTATTTAACAAAATATTGCCCACCTAAATAACTTCAGTGTAGCTAGCTATACTAGTAGCCTGTAAGGTGCCTAGAGACTTTTTTTAAAAGGGTAGTTGAACTTTAAATTATGAGAAGCTTGATAAATTTCCCCAAAACTGCAACATCTGCATGTAATAGTGTAAATCAAATAGGCGGTGTCATGACATGTCTACTAGATTTGATTATAAAAAGAGGGAATTAATGTTAAATATGTGGTGTATTCTGTGTACACTCTGACAAATTTATAAGCATGAGTGTGTGTGAGTGTGTATGTGAGTGTGTGTGCTCTCTTCTGGATGCCCTTCAGAAACCAAATTAAATCTGAACAACATGCTGAGTGTGTTTCAAGCATCTTATGGATGATTATTTAGCGCTGGTGTTATCTCTCCACATTAGTTTGATGAATGAAGAATGGCTGTGCAGGTGTGGGCTGGAGCACCTGCTCTCTCTCACACACACACACACACACACACACACACATCTGTCTGCTGCTCTAAACTGACATGTGTGTCCTCTTCGCAGCACTGCTACAGACAAGTTCAGGTGACACATGCTTGTGTGAAACTCCCTGTAACCTGACGCGCTATGGTAAAGAGCTGTCCATGGTTAAAATCCCCAGCAAAGGCTCGGCTCGCTATCTGTCTAGAAAATACGACAAGTCTGAAGACTACATCAGGTGTGGCAACCTTTCCACCTTCTATATAGATAAAAACAAATATAATACTACACTGATTCTGAAAATATATGATTTACACAAATGTTTTATTGTCCTTTTGTTTTAGAGACAACTTCCTTGTTTTGGACATTTTCTTTGAAGCTCTAAATTATGAAACAATAGAACAGAAAAAAGCCTATGACGTTGCAGGATTATTAGGTGGGTCTTATGCTTCATTTTACCACTTCATTCTATCTTAAAGTAATTTTCAGTGCACCTAAACTTGAGCATTTCTGAGCTTAAATCAATAGGAAATTAAAACTGACTTTATCAATTTTTTTATGCACATGGTCTTATTGTAAACAGTTTATTGGTGCACATTGTTCCCAAGAAACAAAATGTTTGACTTTGTATCATTTTGTATAATTTTTTTTTAATTATAAGAACTTTTTCTTTCTCATAAATTACTTTAAATCATTTCAGGCCACACAGGCTATTGGATCACCCAAAATCTTGTTTCAGTCCAGTGTTATTTTAGTACTATATATATACCATTATAGTATTTATTAATATTTTGAATTAGCTTTTATTGTATTTTTAACGTTCATTTTTATTAGTTTTTTTATATTTGTATTTAGCTTTAATTTTTTTGTATTTCAGTTTTAGTTTTAGTAATTTTAATACTTCAACTATTAAGTTGTTCATCTAATATTTTCGCTTTATTCCAATTAAAATAACAATTTCAGTACTTTTAGTTAACAATAACAACGCTTCAGTCAGAAATATGGCATATTAAAGAAGATGTGTTGCAAATGACAATTTATGTTGAAGAAAATGTGCAAATCATTCTTATTCGTATTTGTATATTTTTTCAGGGGACATTGGTGGGCAGATGGGTCTTTTTATAGGAGCCAGTGTTCTCACCATCTTGGAGATTCTGGATTATGTATATGAGGTAAGCATGCATTGTTTTGGCTCCCTTTTCCAATTCCACATCCATTCATTTTAACCAATAGCTCTTCTCCTGCAGTGTTTTTTTTACATTGTGAGCAGTATTTCCCATAAGAGCCGATAAGACCGGACCTCTGAGCTGAGCAGCAGAATTGCTGATGCTGCTAAACTCTGTTTATAGCCCTCATTTGTCCTACTTTCCCTGCTGCCCTCTTCACCCTGACTCCCCTTCACTTTCCTAGGTGATCAAACACAGGTTGGAGCGTTTGCTCAGGTCACAAAGAGATGACAAAAAGCAAACCCAGCAGCAGCAACAGGCCAGCACAGTCGCCACAGTAAAACTGGAGGAAATGAAAGCTAAGGTGAGCCACATGCTAATCTCTGGAGCGTTAGTGTTAGGATGCAGCACAGATAAATTCTGTGAATAGGAACAAAGCCCAGAGGGAAATATAACATCAGCAGCAGGATATTGAGCCGTGATTGGGATGCCAGGCTGTCTGCTTAGACCAGGATTGAATGAAATCTCCCTTGTTCTTATTGCAATCCGATCTTCTGTTCATGGAAGAAGAACACAGTTGTTGGCAGAGCACACTGTATTCATGAGAAACGGAGTATGCTCAAAACTAATTCGATTCAGTGCATGGCCAGTGGCTCCTGACCCAAGATTATTCAATCATTATAAAGTTGCCAATTCCAGCTCTAAAATTTCAGTCATGCTGAAGCCAGTGTAAAATAGCCGATATATAGGCTATACTGACCTGTAAACTTTAGTTCTATATTAATTAACTTCCTTTGTAGTATGCTGAACAATGTTGTTTCTTTGGAATGACGCATAAAATGTTTTTGCTATCTGTCAGATATCACTGAATGAGCTCTGTGAAATCACACCTCTCTGTGACAACCTTAGGGTCTGTCAAAAAAAAAAAGAGTTTTGTCACCATACCATAATAGAATTAAAATAGCTGATTTTAAACTCGTAATTTTATGATTAATCTTAAGAAAATACCCCCCACCCACACACACACACACTCAAAAGTTTGGAGTTTGTAAGATTTTTAATGTTTTTAAAAAGAAGTCTCTTTATGCTTAACAAGACTGCATTTATTGTGATATTGTGATATATTATTACAATTTCAAATGCCTGTTTTCTATTTGAATTAATTTTAAAATGTAATATATTCCTGTGATGCCAAAGCTGAATTTTCAGCAGCCATTATTCCAGTTATCAGTGTCTCATTGTTTTATTCAGAAATAATTTGAATATGCTGATTTGCTGCTCAAGAAACATTCTGGTTATTGTCAATGTTGAAAAGAGTTGTAAAACTGCATATTTTTTATACTTTTTCCAGGATTTTTTAATAAATAAAACAGTTTAAAATAAATTTTATTTGAACAATGTATTAATTTCTTTAAAAAAAATATTTTTTTCTGAAATTTTCCTTGCACACTCCAAGGATTCATGGACTTAAATAGATTGTCCATTTCAGTCCGATAGGAAGCAGCTTAAATTACTTACAGCAATTTTAGTTCACATAAACAGCTTATATATCCTGACTCCCCTTCACTTTCCTAGGTGATCAAACACAGGTTGGAGCGTTTGCTCAGGTCACAAAGAGATGACAAAAAGCAAACCCAGCAGCAGCAACAGGCCAGCACAGTCGCCACAGTAAAACTGGAGGAAATGAAAGCTAAGGTGAGCCACATGCTAATCTCTGGAGCGTTAGTGTTAGGATGCAGCACAGATAAATTCTGTGAATAGGAACAAAGCCCAGAGGGAAATATAACATCAGCAGCAGGATATTGAGCCGTGATTGGGATGCCAGGCTGTCTGCTTAGACCAGGATTGAATGAAATCTCCCTTGTTCTTATTGCAATCCGATCTTCTGTTCATGGAAGAAGAACACAGTTGTTGGCAGAGCACACTGTATTCATGAGAAACGGAGTATGCTCAAAACTAATTCGATTCAGTGCATGGCCAGTGGCTCCTGACCCAAGATTATTCAATCATTATAAAGTTGCCAATTCCAGCTCTAAAATTTCAGTCATGCTGAAGCCAGTGTAAAATAGCCGATATATAGGCTATACTGACCTGTAAACTTTAGTTCTATATTAATTAACTTCCTTTGTAGTATGCTGAACAATGTTGTTTTTTTGGAATGACGCATAAAATGTTTTTGCTATCTGTCAGATATCACTGAATGAGCTCTGTGAAATCTCAATTACAGCAATTTTAGTTCACATAAACAGCTTATATATGAATATATGAGACTACATGGCAGAATTTGTTACATTATGATATTATTAGTTAAAAAATTCATGGTGTCTTTAATCATGATACTGTTTCCACCATTTTATAGATGCAATAAGCCACTCAAGGCGGTGCATAACAGTGAGTTTACCATGGTTAAAGGGGATAAACCACTGTAACACTCAGCCTCGAGTGGATTTTCACTTTATCACAACACAGATTAAACAATGAGTCACAGCCTTAGTCATAAGAGGCGTTTTATTTCCCAACCTAACAGTGTGTAAGATGTAGGAGTTGAAGTATCCTTGCAGAATCCCGTCTGACATTCTCTGTTCCTGTCAGGATTCTGGTGAGATGAGCCGGAGCCACTCAGAGGGAGCTTATGCTAACACCATCCTCCCAAATCACCATCAGCACCACCGAGTGTTCGAAGACTTTGCCTGCTAGGAAGACTCGTCTGGCGGTTCTAGTGCTGTTGACGTCTACAGAAAGAGTTCTCTCAGTGCTGAAGGTGGGCTCAATGAAAGACCCTCAAATCTCAGCGCTAATCTCTCTCGCTGTCACCAGTTAAAGCTACAGCCAAAGCCGAACTCTAAACTCTCGTTTCTAGGCACGGA